TAAACGCCTGTTTAGGAAAGTGCAGGGACTGAGGTTTGATGGCCAGCACCACAGGCTGTGCCAGCCAATAAGACTGGGCGTGGTGGTACACACCTGCAATCCCAGCACTGGGGAGGCTGAAGACAGGAGGACCACTATAAGTCTGAGCTATGTAGTGAGACCCTGGTCCAAATTTTTTTTAAAAAAACATAAATTAGCGCTGGGGGAATGGCTCAGTAGAATAAGTGCTTGCCTGGCAAGTGCAAGGTCCTGAGTTCAATCCCTGGTGCTGGCTGGAAAAAAAAAAGAAAAAGAAAAAAAAAATCTTAGAAAAAAACATAAATTAAATTAGAATGAAGCAAACAAAAAAAAGGAAGGGATAGGTCAAATATGAAAAGAAAATTCTGTATAGATTCAGATACAGTAATTTGAAAATACTGAGACCACAATAAGGAAGCAAATATTTTGTAGCTTTTGGGGGGGGGGTATTTAGGACAGGGTGTACAGGGTGTCACTATTAGATGGGACTTGTAGTGATTCTCCTGTTCACAACCTCCCAAGAGCTGAGATTACAGGCACACGCCACCACGCCCAGTCTCAATTGCCCTCTCAGTGTGCCCAGGGATGGGACCGGCACAGCAGGCCCTGGGGATCAAAACCCCCGCCCCTGTGCCTGCAGGTGCTTTAATCTGCTGAGCTGTTTGTCTGGCCCTTTGTAGCATAATATTTAAAATGATTTTTAGTTAACATTTTGATATATACACCTTTTAATACGCACAAATGTGTAGTATTTCATAGTACTTATCATATAATACTTTCTACATATACCTAAGTATAACAACATGATCTCTATATATTAGGATATTTAATGTATGTTACTTCACAGCATTAGGTTACATCAGAGTATCAAAATATAAACTATCCTCAAAAGTTCAGCATTCAAACTAACAGTGTGAAAACTGGAAACAATTCACTTTAAGTAAAAAGTTGGACTATATAATTCTAGTGATTAAAAAGTATTTACCTAGTGGTTTGGTTTTCAAAATAAATGAATAAAAAAAGAAAGAAAAAAACTCCAAAATTTAATATACACATACATCTACATAAACATAACACATATACATGGGGGGGGGAGCAAGATATCCAAAAGCAGCAGTTCTAGTTTCTGGTTTATGGTACTATGGATAGTTTTATTTTCATATTTGAGCTTTTCAATATTTCATACATTCCACAATGAACACATATTTTTCTGACAAAGAACAATATAATTTTCTTTAGAGAATTTAAAAATAGAAAAAAAGAAACTAGAAACAATACAAAATTTCAATAAAAAAATAATAGGAATTCATCAGTGGTTGTTATATTGTATAACACTGACTTCAACTTAATTTAGATTACCAGATATAAGCAAGGAAAACTGGTTTAAAAAAGTTTCTGCACCATATGTATTGCTGTATGCTACTCTGTCTTTGTGTTTGCTTTTGTTTTTACTCTTTAAAAAGAATCAAAATAGAGGAAAAAAAATTATGTCTTCACTGCTCCTTTCAACAATCCAGCAGAAATCAGCAGTAGAGTTGCCCAAGCTATCCTATGTATATACATGTATATAGTTTCCCCTTCGTTCCTTCTTTTCTCCTTTCCCTCATCTCAGTTGTTCCTTCTCTTTGAACACATTCTTTCCCTTTCACAGTACGTAGTTTTCAGATTTTACTTATTCTTTCAAGTTCTTAAGCTTGGGAGACAATATGATGTTTACACATATGAGTCTGATTTATTTCACTTTTTATTTATTTATTTAGCCAACTCAGCCCACCCTGGGGGTAGGACTGGCACAGCACATGGTGCCGGAGATCAAACCGCAGTCCCCTGAGCCTGCCTAAGCTTGCCAAAGCAGGCACTTTAGGCTGCTGATCTATTTCACTGGCCCCTATTTCACTTTTGGGTATGGTCTCTAGTTGGTCCATTTACCTATAAAAGCCTGGAGTTTAACTTTCTTTATGGCTGAGTAATACTCTGTTGTATAAAAATACATCCTTTTTATCCATTCCTTAGTTGATGGGCATTTGGGTTGTTTCCAAGATACAGCTATGACAAATTGCACTGCTATCAACATGAGTGCACATGTATTGCTGTGGTATGAGGTTTCATTTCTTCTGGGAAGATACTCAAAAGGGGAATAGCTCAGTCAAATGGAACTTCTAATCCTAGTTATTTTTGAAGATGCTCCATACTAATTTCCAAAGTGATTGTACCACTCTACACTCTCACCAACAGTGGAAAAGGCTTCCTTTTTCCCCACAGCCCTGCTAGCATTTGTTATTCCTTAATTTTTTTTGATTGACTGCCATTCTTTCTGGGGTGAGATGACTCAGTGTGAAAGCTATGGATTCAATCAGCAGTAACACCTGCATCCACACACACATATATACCATGAAACTACTACTAGCACTAAAAGCAAAATCTACGTGAACTTCTTAAAACCAAGTACAATATAAGAGTCTAATAAAGAAATAAAAGTATTTTTCAAATATGTAACATATAGTTTCAAACTTTTTTGAGACAGAGACAGAGAGAGACAGAGACAGAGAGAGAGACAAAGAGACAGAGACAGAGACAGAGACAGAGACAGAGACAGAGACAGAGGCAGAGGCAGAGACAGATTCTCACTCTATAATTCAGGCTAGCCTTGACTTCTTGCAGTCCTCCTGCCTCAGGCTCCAGTCTGGGATTATAGGCATCGATCGCCACACTGCACACTCTAAGAAACTTAAATGAAAGTGAGATAAAGCAGGTGATATATCAACAGACATATTCTGGTGGTTTGTAAAGAGAATCAAGATAGAGTAGTTGTTGATACTGCCCACTCGATTCATTGTTTTTTTTTTAATATTTTTTTAATTATTTATTTATTTTTATTTATTACATTTATTTATTGTGTGTGTGTGTGGCCAGCTCAGCCCACCAGGGGGCAGGGCTGGCTGGCATGTGGTGCTGGGGGATCGAACCGCGGTCCCTGTGCTTTGCCAAGCTTGTTTCAAGTAGGTGCTTTAGACCACTGAGCCATCTCTCCAGCCCCTCGATTCATTGTTAATGGGGTTTGTTTCTGGGTTTTTTTTCCCCAGGGGGGGGTTGGTTTTTGACCAGAGATTTAACTCGGACCTTGCTCTTGCCAGGCAAGTACTTATGCCACTGAGCTACATCCCCAGAATGTTGTCGATGTTTTATGAAAGAGGATACTTAACTCTGATTGTTCCAATTTACCGCAAAAATCACATTAAATAGAGGGAAATCCTAAAGTCTACAACTTAGAGATTCATTAATAGTTAATAATTTAACGACCATGTAATTCAGAGCTTGAAAGCTTTAGCATTTGGGACTTTATACACTTTTTCTTATCAATTACACTGACAGAAAGCTTCTTAAATTCTTATTGAGCCATGCTCGAAAAGTTACAATTTAACGTTTACAAGGAAGCTGTAACATTTTCAAATGGACTATTAACGGTAAATTATTCTTGAATATTTTAAAACATTAAAGATGCAGCACTTTTGTTAACAAAATAAAAACTTTCAAAGGAATAATATTAAATTAAATGATCAAATTGAGTATTCTTTTATATTCATAGGCTAATGAAAGATCTGAACATCCTCCTTAAATAATTCACTGGGATAAAAATGTAACTTTTAATTTTGCCCACAGTTTTTATTATTCAAAACAGAACAGTATACACTAAATATAATAGCTTCCAACAGGTATTAATGAAAAGGTGTGCCTCATTAAAACTGATTTTCCTTTACAAACTCAAAAGAAAATGTTTTCCTTATAAAACAGCTAAAAAGCAGTTCTGGGTCAGGTGTGGTGACACATACTATAATCCCAGCACTCTTGTGGCGGAGGCAGATGGATCAACATGAGTTCAAGGTCACCCTGGGCTACACACAGTGAGATCAAAGCTAGCCTGAGCTACACAGTAATATTCCTGCCCCCCGCAAGCAAATAAAACCCTAAAAACAAAGCAGTTCTGTAAGATACTAAAATTCAAATAATATTTTTCCTAAGCCAGAAAGTTTCTCAAGTATCATTATAATTTTACTCTGTAAAATGCATTGATACTCTGAAAAGGGTATCATTTTGGCTATTACAAGGTATCATTCAATAGATGTGTGCACAATTTCATTCTGCTTTAGTGTTATGATCAATTATAATATCCACAAAGGGATGACTGGCACTTTCTAATCTGTGTCCACTAAATCTAACAATGACTTAGAGAAAGGTACCAGAATAAGCGACCGACAAGTAGGAAATCTCACTCCAGAACAGAAGCTAGATTTTATTATGTGAAGAGGAACAATCCCAGGTAGGAACAGAGGGATGGACAGATGGGGACACATGGACACACGGACTCGGACACACACACACACACACACACACACACACACACACACACACAATACCTATGCATTGTATTTTTAAAAGCAAATAGAAGAGTGATACACTAAAAATGTCTTCATAATAAAACCATGCAGAAAACAACTTTTAAATTTGGTGTTCCTCTAGCACTTGTGTGTAGTTTTAATATAATATAGAACTGTACAAGTCCTCCCTTGTATTCTGCCTTCAATCATTATTGATTTGATAACTGAGAAGCAACTGTACAGATTTACTTTATATTTGTCTTAATATTAATGTCATTATGTATTTTAAATATTCTGGATTTTTTCTGTATTTGCTTTTAATGAGCTCAGTCTATATTCACAATTTGTCATGAATAGCTCTTTACAAATTAAAGGCAACACTGAAATACACTGACAATGTTTTTCTCATATGTTTATTTCTTGAGGTTAATTCTATTTTGACAATATTAAGAGTTTTAAAAATCAGAAACATTGTGCTTTTAAAGATACCCAATTTATCCACAAGAAAAATTGGGAAAAAATGACATGGCGAAATTATTAGTGTAACATTCTTCAGGAAAACACCATCCTCATAATGGAGATAAAAACAGTAAGTATCCAGGTTACCTGTTAAGTGATCTAAGTAGTACTGATATAGCTTGCACTGTATAGATGTCATTCTCACAGCTAAGACATACTCATGTTTTGGAGGCAAGAACTTTGTTAATGCTGTATAATCTTTCCTCTGTAATCAATAAGAGAATAAAAATTAATACAGATATTTCAAAGAAATGAACTGCTTTAAGAATTCTCATTGCTTTTAGATAATAGTTTTACAGAAAAAGGCAAAAATGACATAAAAAACCTTTTCTTATATATATATATATACCCACATTAATCACACAGTAACCCATATGATTATAGTTAATTACTTTACATGCTTGTATAACATGGTACACCGGTAAAAACATACTTCAGGGCACTAAGCAGATTCTCTGCGATGAATGTAATCATTATGCATCTCGAAAATGTACCAATAAAATCGATTTTTAAAAACTGAATACACCAGGCATGTTTTAAATTGAAGTGGTCATATGACCAAGTGACCACTTAAAACAATTTAAGTTGAAGATAGTCTCCATACAGAAAAAAAATACGGAAAGGATACTGTAGATAGTATAGTCGTCTTGCTATGTAGTTCAGGATGGCCTCAAACTAACAGTGGTCTTCCTGCCTCTGCTTCCTGAGTGCTAGAATTATAGGCATGTACAACCACATCTAGTTTTTAGACGTCTATTTTAAAAATAGCTTTTCTGTGCTGGGGCTTTAGCTCAGCAGCACAGCACCTGCCTGGCAAGCACGAGGCCCTGAGATCAATTCCCAGTTTCAAAAAGAATAGCCTCCTCTCTTAATTCATACTGGCCTCTTCTACAACTATTTCAAGTGAGGGAGGTTTAGAATAATGCACTATAGAACTGGGATCAGACTGGAATTCTTAATCAAAATATAGCTCTCCTCTTAAGGAACTTCCTGTCTTAAAGCACTCACATAATAAAATATGAAGGCTGATACCTAGCTATTAATCAATTATGTTTTAAACTTTTCAATTCAATTCTTCCTAAAAGTCAAATGCTACATAAACTATTGACCACAACATAGATGTAACTAAAACTATATACTACAAAGGAGAAAAGAAAATACAAAATAAAGTTTTAACTCACAAAATATTTTGAGATTACAATAAAAAATAACAAAACTTTATTATAGAACATAACTGTACCTGAACACATCCAGCTAACATCTCATAGAGAATGTGGGCACGTTTTTTCATCACTCTGACATCTACCATGGTAGAATCTGCACACTGACCATTTTGGATTGGATTAATAAATCTGTTTCTGAATTCCTTAATTGATCCAAGCAAATTTTCCTTGATAAAGTTAACCATGCAATGATCTAAAAGAGAAAACATTAACTCATTAACAATACTGATGGTTTAAAGACTCAAACTTTCCTAACTGCTCATGTCAAAAGTACACACCATGTAAATATTAGAATTAAGCTACGAAGAAAGAACATCAAACTGTACAATAAATACTGGCTGTGTGTCTATTAAAAGACTACATAAATCAGAAGAGAAGTTTAAATCATCCGAAAATACTAGAAATGATTTAAATACTAGCAATTAAACCCAAGGTTTCATGCATACTATGTAAATGCTGTAACATCGAGCTCCCCCTCCAGCCCTAGTCATAAATGTTGTAAAAAGCACACACTTGGGGCCGGGGAGATGGCTCAGTAGAATAAGCGCTTTGCTGGCAAGCGCAAGGGCCTGAGTTCAATCCCCAGTTCCACAAAAAAATAAAAAATAAAAGATAAAAAACGAAAAATAAAAAGCACACACTTAATGACATTTTGTTCTGAATCAATATTGTTTATAAGAAAGACATTAAGAAAAAGTGATCTATAAAATCAAACCGTAATTTTACAGTCAGTGAAGGTTTCTATGAAGATAAATACTGAATAAAAATAAAAATTAGTAATACACTAGTATACTAAATGCTATATTAACTCAATTGCAGAATTTTTATTAATGTTATCCATTGTCCTAATAAATAAACTAATAAATAAAGTTACAATGTGAAACCGCATTTCTGTAAGTATGATAATGGAACAGAAAACGGGAAATGCATAGATAAAACAGGGTACAATGATAAATAGGGTAAAATCAGTAATACAAATAAATAACAGAAAATAGTCAAATCATCTCACTTGAAAAGAATATCATTCTTTCAAAATAAACCAAGCTAGATCTGTAAAATCATCCTTAGGGATTAGCAGAAAAGGCAAATAGCAAAACTTCAAAAACTATATCTCAGGCAATACCAATAATCAACAGCATAATCTCGGATATTAACTCACACTCAATTAAGTTATTTTGAAGTGGTGTTCCTGTTAAAATAATTCTCCTCCTTGATCGGATAGAATTCATTGCTTTCGAAACAGCAGATGCTTCATTTTTTAGAATATGGCCTTCATCACAAACCACAAAATCAGGGCCTATTATAAAATATAGACAAAAATAACAATTATACAAATAAAACCCAAAATGTGATTCATGCAAGTAAACAGGTTAATCTTGTAACAGTGTAAGTCCTGTAGGAACATAAAACATTATAATTATAATGATATTTCATCTGCTGCTGTATTTACCTAATTTGGCATTAACTAGTTTTAATTATATCCTAAAAGTAAAGAATGAGGGGCCAGGGAGATGGCTCAATAGAGTAAGTACTTGCCTGGCAAGTGCAAGAGCCCGAGTTCAATCCCCGATTAGGCCAAAAAACAAAACCTGGCAATCAAAGGAAATGAAGAGTAAAAAAAAAAAAAAAAAAAAAAAGGCAACGAATGAAAATGCTACCAAAAATTGTACTTAAGATCCTCTGAATGAGCACACAATACTGGCCAAGAAAAAAATGCTGGAGATTTTTTAAAACAGGGAAATGGTAGAACAGAAAAAAAAAAAAAACTTAATAGATCTGAGGTAGCTGACAAAAATACATATTAAAATTAAAATCTCTTAAGATACTATAATAGCTAACAATAAACAAAGTAATATATCTACTTAACTTATTCCAAATAACTAGCACTTACTGATGTGGAAATACTGGCTGACGAAAGAAAGCTAAATTAGTTGTTACATGGTATGATTGAGGAAAATAAAAAATCTTACTTCTTATAAAAGATCTCACATCTGAGTGACTTTCTAAAAATAAATTGTATAGGTTTTGTAAAAAGGGATTTTTTTATAAAAGCATCTTACCTCCACAATTTACTTGCTAGTTATCATATACACACATATTACTTGAATATTGATCTAAATAGCAGCTGTCAAATTATCACCCATTTGTTACACATTAGAGAAAATTCACGTTCTAGAAGACTTTAAGCACCAACTTTCTCAGTATGATAGTAAATACAATTATTATTCAGGACTCAGAGCTACAAATAATAGTAAACAAAAAATTTTGTTATTAAAATGGTTTTTAGGGGCTGGGGAGATGGCTCAGTGGAATAAGCGCTTCCCTGGCAAGGGCCTGAGTTCAATCCCCAGTTCCACAAAAAAAAAAAAAAAAAGGTTTCCAAAATAAAACCTGTATCTAGTTTCCTATTATAAAGCTATGTATTATTTATGCTGCAAGTGTGTGATGAAATGGGTACCAGTATGTAGTTTTCCTGGGAATTTAAATTGCTATCAAAATATTCTATCAGTTTTATCATACATAACAGCACATAAACTTTGTAAGTACTTTAACCTGTATTTCAGTTTCTAAAAATTTATCCCAAAGTTGTACTTCCAAAGTGCCCAAAGATACATAAAAGAATGTTACCAGTAGCTTTGTGTGTTATAGGGAACAATTAAAAACAATCCACAAGCTTGCAAAGAAAGTGGTCTACTAAAGGAAGTTAAGTTATGATTTCATAGAGTAATTTAAACAGTAAAAATTGAATATGTGTATCTGTATGCACAAGCCATGAAATGCATGAGAAATATATTATTAAAAGAATCTAGATGCAGAATATAGATGCTCCTTGACTTACAATAAAGTTATCTTCTGGTAAGCTCATAAACTGAAGATGCTCTTAAGACCCCAAGGAACTCTACAACACATCACAGCTTAATATAATACAATATCAAGTGCTGGTGGTCTACCCTAGGAGCACACAGATGACTGAGAGCTACGGTTCACAGTACAAGAATGTATCTTACCAATCATAATGAGCCCAGGAAAATATCAAAACTCTGAAATTCAAGCCAAACTTCTACTGAATGCTCACCATTCCCACAGCATTATAAAGTTGAAAATCACAAGGTAAACCTAACTGAACTCACTTATCCCCATCCAGATAAGTCGCTTACTCATCTATATCATGTTCCTATGTATAGACTGATTTTATCTATGCATACATGTGTACACAGCCTCACAAAGTCACAGTTCAGCGTTGACAGGCTCAGTCATTTGTAAATTTTTCCTTAGACCCTAATTAACAACTGTTCATGGAAACCCCCTCAATTTCGCCAAAACCTCAAACATCCTGCGAAGTGGAGGGAGGGAGCAACATGCAAGTAGTCAATCCAAGAGCATTACTCAGTCCTCCTCACTGCTAATTAGCTCTTGCTCTGTAACCCTTCTCTAGCAAATGCACCAGCCACCTTTAGCTATCTTGAGGTTCTCAGTTTTATTTTTCTTAAAGTGATAAGATCCCTACGATGGGGCCGGGGAGATGGCTCAGTGGAATAAGTGCTTCCCTGGCAAGCGCAAGGGCCTGAGTTCAATCCCTGGTTCCACAAAAAAAAAAAAAATCCCTAAGATACCACCAAAACACCTGTACCTTCTATGGTTTTATGAATACAGTATTTTAATTAAATTACTTCATGTCAGGAGACCGGGCATGTTTAGGGTTTAAAATATAAAAATAGGCACTTTTGTGAACATACCTGAAATTTGTGCCTTTCACAATCTCTAGATGCTCTGGAAACATAAGCTCCCCATTAATTTCAGGAGTTTTACTGTATAAATTTTTTATCTTTTAAAGAAGAAAAGGTATATTTAGCCCACAATTTGTCAAGGTTTCAATCCATAATTAGCTGGCTATAAAGATGGGTGGCATGGCAGAGGAGCAACTTTTGAAGGCAGCAGAAGATATCAAAAATAACAAGAGCAAAGGGGAGAGACAAGCCTTTCGCTCCTTACATTGTGTGACCGGCTAGGTCTGAGGGCAGGTGCGTTATTCATATACCCAATCCCAGCACTACACAATAAACCAATCACAAACAGATTTGGCCACCTACGCAAAGGTCAGCCCCTCATGATCACATGAAGTACTGTAGTCACATCTAGATACAAACTATGACATTCTGCCCCAGGTACCCCAAAAACTCAAGTACATTCCTTCATATAAAAGGCATTTAGCCCTAGTACATAGGACTTGCAAAGTTCTAATAGTTTCAGCATTTGTGAATAATCCAAGTCCCAAGTCTCTCCAAGACGTAAGGCAAACACTTAGCTGTAAGCCCCTGAACAAATGAAAAGAAAGTTAAACACTGCCAACATTCAATAGCACAATATATACATTTCCATTCCAAAAGTTACAGAGGGCCAGCCAAGTAGCTCGGCAGATTAAAGTGCCTGCAAGCAGACACAGGGGCCAGCAAACCGGCCCTGCTGGCTCCACCCCCGGGGGTGCACTGAGAAGGCATTTGAGATTGGGCGTGGTGGCTCACACCTGTAATCCCAGCTCTTGAGAGGCTGTAAACAGGCAGATCACTGAGTCTGATCTAGAAGTGAGACCTTAAACACCCTATAGACCCTTCCCTAAATATATATTTAAAAAGTTATAAACAAGGATACAAAGGAATGGGACAAAGCAAGTCCAAAATTCAGCAGGACAAATATTAAGTCCTATAGTTCTATATCCAAGATCCAAGCATCTATATCTAGCATCCAAGGCAATCTGTGACAACTGCAAGCTCTAAAGGGTTTGGGTGCCTCCACCCCTATGGCACTTGTGGTTGTAGCTCCCACAGCTTCTCTCTTGCACGTTGCCTTAAGATGACAAAGGCTGCTGGCTTTTCAAAACATCTCAGGTCTCCACTTCACATTTAGCTTTACACTCATAGTTTAACACACTGCTCCTATTGGGGAACATTGCCTAGCCTTACAGGCCTTCCTCTGAAATATGGTTGGAAGCCTTTCTAACCCTACAACTCTTACAATCTTCATGTGCCTAACACCAACACTATGTGAATGATGTCAAGGTCACCTAGAGCAATAGCCAGGCTTCTGTCTGCTGTATGGATCCAATGTGGGAATTGCTCACTCTGAATCCAATTCTGAGGACCAATTTTTTTTTTTGTATTGCCATTCTGGAAAATGGTGTTCTAAAGCATTTCTCTCACAGCAAAGTCTTTCAATTTTGTAATTTTGAGACTGAAAAGGGCAGAGTCCTACTGCTTCTTGTGATATACTCAGGCCATCTTTTCTAGTCTCCTCTTCCTAATTAGTAATCAAGATCTCCTCTGCTTTATTTTTGCAGTCCATAGGCTTTACTGGAGCTTTCCTTCCAGACAAACTCACATTTTAAATCATTCTGGTGTGCTCTTTGCTCTTGATTCTAAACATAAATCTGGGTAAAAGCCTCTAACAATAGCCATGGGGCCAGGGAGATGGCTTAGTAGAATAAGCGCTTCCCTGGCAAGTGCAAGGGCCTGAGTTCAAGCCCCGGTCCCACAAAAAAAAAAAAAAAAAAAAAAAAAAAAAAAAAAAAAAAACCACAATAGCCATGTCACCACCTCAACATTCAACGGCCTTAAAATTTGTTCTGCTAGATTAGTCCACCAACCTTAATCTCGGTCTCAGGCAAAATCTATGGACAAAAGCAAAATGCAGACAATTTTCTGCCAAGACAAAACATATATCATCTGTATATATGGAGTCATATTGGGCTCCATCATCATTAAGAGTCCAAAAGCCATGTTTCTTCCCAGTAGAAACTTCCCAACACCCGGTGTTAAAGGAGGAAAGATTTATTTAGCTGACAGTTTGTGGAGGTTTTAGCACTTGGTCAGCAGGATCCAAGGTAGGGTGGCAGGGCAGAGAGCCATGGATTCATGGGAATGGCATACATAAAAAGTAACAAAAGAGAACCCTTTTCTTTCTTTCTTGAGTTTTTTTAGGGCAAAAGCTTGCTATGTAGTTTACCCTGGCTCTGAACTCATAAATAATGACAATTTAAATTCTTCCCTTCCTATTCTTCTTTTTATTTCTTTCTCTTGTCTAATAGCTGTGGCTGTTTGCATAACTAGATTGAATAAGAGTGGTAACAGTGGACGCCCCTGTCTTGTTCCTGAATTTGGAGTGAAAGAGAAACAAGAGCTTATCAATCCCAAAGCTCATACAAAGGAGGGAATTGCAAAGATCAGAACAAAAATTAATGCCACAGACACTAATAAAACAACACAGGGAATTAATGAATCAGAGTTGGTTCTTTGAATGAATAAATAAAATTGACAATCAGCCAAATCTATCAAAAGGGGTGGGAATACTCAAATCCATGTATTTAGGAGGGCCGGGGAGATGGCTCAGTAGAATAAGCGCTTCCCTGGCAAGCACAAGAACCTGAGTTCAATCCCTGGTTCAAAAAAAAAATGTACTTAGGAATGAGAAGGGTGAAATTACAACAGATCCTGCTGAAGTCCAGAAGATCATCAATACCTACTATTCTAATATGATGGAAAATGAAGAACGAAACCTATGAATTACCAAGGCTAAAACAAAAAAATATAAAACTAAGCAAATCAGTATCAGTCAATGGGGGTATGGCAAGAAACCTCAGCATGCTAAAGTGCCTGCTTAAGCAAGCACAAGGCCAATGGTTTGATCCCCGGTACCACATGCTGTGCCAGCCCCACCCCCAGGGCAGGCTAAGCTGGCCACAGAATCTAAGGCATAGTGGTGCACACCTGTAATCTCAGCACTGGGGAGGCTGAAAGCAGGAAGATCACCCAAATCCAAGCTGCATAGTGAGACCCTGCAACAATCAAATAATATATATCTGGCCAGATAGCTCAGCAGACTAAAGGTGCAGTGACCAGGTTCGATCCCAGGTGTACTATGCTGGTCCCACCTTCCCCACCCACCCCCCGAGATGTAGACTGAGACTGGATGTGGTAGCATGCCTATAATTCCAGCACTTGGGAGGCTGAAAACAGAGGGATCACTACAAGTCTGATCTGTGTAGTGAGACCCTATACTAAATACATAAAAAAACCAAGTAATATATATCAATGAAACTAAAGACAATTAAAACACTTTTTTTTTTTGGCAGAACTGGGGATTGAACTCAGGCCCTTGTGCTTGCCAGTTGCCAGGGAAGCGCTTATTCCACTGAGCCATCTCCCCGGCCTGACAATTAAAACAGTAACAATAAAAAAAAAAAATCCAGGCCCTGACAGATTCACTGCTGAATTCTACAACAAATTTAGAAGAGATCAAATGCCATTACTTTCTTAAACTCTTTAATGAAATTAAAAGGTAAGCAATCTTCCCAAATTCATTCCTGAATACCAAAGCCAAAAAAGGATCAAACTAGAAAAGAGAACTACAGGTCAATCTCCCTAATAAACACAGACACGAAAATCTTCAATAAGATACTGGAAAACAGAATGCAGCATATAATCTAGAAAAGTATATACCACAAACAAGAATTTCTACTACATTTTCTTTTTTTTTTTTTCTGAATCTTAGGAAAGGGTCTACAGGGTGTTCAGGGTCTCACTACTAGATCAGACTGGTAGTGATTCGCCTGTTTACAGCCTCCCAAGAGCTGGAACTAAAGGCCCACACCACCACACCCAGTCTCCACTGCTGTCTCAACGCTCCCCAGGGGCAGGGCCAGCACGGCAGGCCCAGGGATGGAACCCGTCCCCTGCCTGCAGGTGCTTTAATCCACTGAGCTATTTGGCTGGCCCTCTACTACATTTTCTCACAGTGAATTTTTTTTAATTGAACAATATTTATGTTTAATCCAGGTATAATGGCATATATCATGTAGTGTCAACTATTTCAGAGGCTGAGTCAGAAGGATTGCTGGAATCCAGGAGTTCAAGGCCAGACAGTGAAAGCACATCACACAAACAGAAAGAATTTAATGACTAAAACGGGGCCATTTCAATTAACTAGAAAACATATTTTCAGGACAGAAATAAAGGACTGGAACTTGAAAATACCTATACTTGGAAATCATTTTATAGAAAATACAGGGAGAATTGCAACAGTGAAGATTTACAAAGTTGAAGAAAAGGAATTTAGAGAAAGCCTTTAAGAAAACATCAGGGGGGCTGGGGAGATGGCTCAGTAGAATAAGTGCTTGCCTGGCAAGCACAAGGGTCTGAGTTCAATCCCTAGTACCACCAAGAAAGAAAGAAAGAAAGAAAGAAAGAAAGAAAGAAAGAAAGAAAGAAAAGAAAAGAAAAGAAAAGAAAAGAAAAGAAAAGAAAAGAAAAGAAAAGAAAAGAAAAGAAAAGAAAAGAAAAGAAAAGAAAAGATCAGTCAAACAAACAAATGTCGGTGGGGCTGTGGGCAAAAAGGAACCCTTATCCACTCTTGGTGAGATTACTGAGAAATGCAACAACTGTGAAATCACAGTGGCTGAGAGATTCCTCAAAAATCTCTCAATGCAAGATCTCTCAAAAAAACTAGGAGGAGCGCTGGAGATATAGCTCAGTGGCACAAGCACCTACCTAGCAAGCCCAAGGTCCTGAGTTCAACTCCCATTATGGAAAAAGAAAAACTAACTTGCCATCGCCCCCCACCTCCAGGGCCCGCTGAGATGGCAACTGAGACTGGGCACAGTGGTATGCGCCTGTAATCCCAGCTCTATGGGAAGCTGTAAACAGGCAGATCACTATGAGTCCGATCTACTAGTGAGGCCCTTGAATGCCCTGTACAGCCTTCCCTAAAAAAATACAAAGAACAACTAGGACTAGAGGCTCCATTTTACCTAGCCATTCCCCTTCCGGGTACTTTTCAGAAGAATTAAAAGCATCATGCTGCAGCAACCTATGCACACCTATGTTTATAGCAGTATAGTTTGTAATAGCCAAATCTTGGAAACAACCCAAGTATCCATCAACTGGTAAATGGATAAAGAAGATGTGATCTTTTTAAATATAATGGAGTATTACTTTGCGATAAAGAAGGTTGAGCTCAAGACATTTCAAGGAAAATGGATGCTCCTTCAGTCCACACTCTTAAGTGAAATAAATCAGACATGCATGTATGAATACTACACTGTTTCTCTGGTGTGAGAAACAGAAAACTCTACATGAGAATCAAAATGTATTCTGAAATACATTTATTTGAAATAGAGAGGCCAGGGAGATGGCTCAGTGGAATAAGTGCTTCCCTGGCAAGAGCAAGAGCCTGAGTTCAATCCCCGGTTCTGCAAAAAACAAACAAACAACAAAACAACCAAAAAAAGAAAATATTTGAAATAGGAATAAAATGTTTGAATGGGGAGGAGAACAAGGAAAAAAGGAGGAGGGAAGGAAAGAAAAGTTTAAAAAAACATGGAAACAGAGCTTTCTAAGTAGAGTGTCGAGGAGGGGTTGAAGGGAAGGTAGGAGAACGGGGGGATCTAAGTTATATTATGCAGAGGTACAAATTTTCTATGATGAAAGTGATCATTATGTACATCTAAAATGTACCAACAAAAATTAATTTTAAAAACTAAAATTTTTTCAATTTATATAAATTTCATATGACTGTGATCATCATGTATACCTAAAATGAATCAACAAACTTTTTTTTTTTTTTTTTTGGCTGAGCTGGGGATTGAACTCAGGCCCTTGCTCTTGCCAGGCAAGTGCTTATTCTACTGAGCCATCTCTCCACCCCAACAAACATAATTTAAAAGACTAATATAAATGAGTATGGCTATAAAAATTGATTTATGAAGTTTTATTATTTTTATCAGCTCAGCACCTAAGATGCCTTTAAATTCTACTCATTCAACCCTCCAGTTCCCTTTCCCACTGGATCTGAACACTGGTCTTGGTGGTCATAAAGGAGGAAAAGGAATGCTGAAACTGGCCTCACAGACATATTCTGTTACAGAAAATGCAGGCTACTACCAAACAGGGTAAAAAAAAATCTATTCATTCATAAATATAATCATGATTTCTCTACTCCTACCATTCCTTTATATGGCTAATTTGCCTAGATATATGTTGAAAACTCATCTCATTTCTAATGCTCATTTATTTTAGGGCTTTGGAAGTGCATTTTTCAAAAATTCCATTTAAAATTCAAGCCTGATTGAAAGACCACTGAAGGCACTAAGAAAATCTATTCATATTTTATAAAATTACATATTGCTTAAACAGAATTTTGAATACTGTACAAATACACAAATCTGCTTGCTCACACACACACACTCTCTCAAATAGATTATATGCTCTGAAGCTAAAAACCATAAAATATCCTTCCAAAATCAATAATGTGAATTAGAAAATTCTACCAGATCAATTAAAGTACATCAAGTAGGAAAATATAATTGCCAAATAACTAGGTTAGAGTACAAAAGATACATAGTACTGTTTAGTATTACATTTAAGTATCAAGTTTTCCACTATGTTACATTGCCACCTATTGGTGGATTTTTTAAAAATATAAAATATTAAGAAAAAAAAGCTGATAAAATAATCGGAACTGTCCAGAAAGCCAGTCCCAAACCCGAGTCCATGAAAGTACTATAACAAAATGACAGTTGTCACAGTTGCTATAAAGATTTTAATGACAATTACACAGCAATAACCAGAGAAGCTAAGTTCAAAGATGAACACTACTAAAAAAAAGATGAACACTTATTGAATATTTTGTATTGATTTTTCCATGTTTCTTACAATGGAAGTGTATTATCTTTAAAATGGTTAGAAATAAAACTTTCTAAAAATAAAAAAAAAGATGAACACTGCTAATAATTCCGTGTAGCACTAAATAATTCCTGTTCTAATATACACTCCCAGTTTTCCAGATTTCTCATTTAATAGGCTACTCTTCCCAGTTTATAACCTAATCTCACCCTTGAAAGTCTGTTAGCTGATACTGCCTAACTGCGTCTGATATTTTGTCTCAATCTTCAATTACATAACACAGGAAACCAGGTCTTCCCATATCCAGGTGTAATTTATATCATTCTTCACTATCATCAATGTGCCCCCTAAATCAGACAAACTAGGGAAAAACAAAAACATAATACTGGGAAATTGACCATTATGTGTATCAGATCCTTTCTAATAAATGTTTAAATACTACTCAGAATTCGATAATGTAGATGTAGAAAGAAAGGAGATACAAAAGTCATACCATTAAATCTTAGAACTTACTATATTTTAATATATCCTTCCTAACATGTTATAAATCGTGAATCCTGTAACATTTTTGTTGCAGTGCACATAGTTTTTGAAATAAATATAGGTATGCCACATCAAGCAACCTCTACTTTTTCTATTTACTATACCATACTAAAGAAAGATGGGACTGGGAGGGCAGGACAAGAACAGGGCCAGGGCCAGGGGCAGGGGTAAGGCAAGTTTTTCAATGAGATTGCAGTAAAATCTAATGAAAAGACAAAGGCTAACTTTAGGTCCAAACAAGGGTAATGCAGGTATTTATTATCAAACAAAATAAAACAAACTCAATGTAGAACTTAACCTTTAAAAAGACATCTATTATAGAACATCACTTAATATCAAAATTAATGCAAAGAAAGTAAAACTTTCCAAAGTCAGGAGTAACAATTGCTTTTCCTAACATATGTTTAGTAAAACATTGAATACCTACTTTTTACCACACAAAAAAATTCACCCAAACTCTGAGACACAAATTTTGAGTTAAAACTATGAAACATTTCAAATAAAACATAGATGCCAACATTTGTGACCTTGAAATAAGCAATGAATTTGTGGAAATGCATCAAATAAACAATTAACAAAAGAAGAAACAGATGAAAGTTCAATAAATTTTTTAAGCTTTTAAATAAAAATATGCAGCCAGAGAGATACCTCAGTAGAATAAGTGCTTGCCTGGCAAGTGCACGGTCCTGAGTTCAGTCCCCAGTACCACTAAGAAAGACAGAAAGACAGAAAGACAGACAGACAGGCAGGCAGGCAGGCAGACAGGCAGGCAGGCAGGCAGGCAGGCAGGCAGGCAGGCAGCAAGCAAGCAAGCAAGCAAGGAAGCAAGCTAGGAAGCTAGCTAGCTAGCTTACAAAGGAAGAAAAAAGACAACTCACAGACTAAGAGGAAATACATGCAAATTATATAACCACACATAACATGCTATATAAAAAGCTTTTATAAAATCAATAATAGTAATTCACTATGAAATAGGAAAAGGACTTTTAGGATGAATTTTAGGACAGGGTCTACAGGGTGTATAGGGGTCTCACTACATATATCAGACTCATAGTGATCCTCCTGTTTTCAGCCTCCAAAGTGCTGGGATTACAAAAGCACGCCACTACACCCAGTCTCAATCGCCTCCTCAACACGCCCCAGGGGTGAGGCTGGCACAGCACCCTGGGGATCGAACCCCAGCCACTACGCTCTGCCAAAGCAGGCACTTTGATCTGCTGAGCTATCTGGCTGGCCATGGAAAAGGACTTTGAACAGAAATTTCTCCAAAAAGAACAGACCAATAAACACATGAAAAAAGGCTAAACATAATTAGTCATAATGAAAGTAAAAAATAAAAACCTCAAGGCATTTCTTCATATCCACCAAAGTAGATATGATAAAAGCAGTAAATACTGGCCAAACTGTGGAGAAACTTAAAACTTTATGTACTGATTGTAAGAAGATGGAATGAAAAAGTCACAATGAAAAACTGGCATTTTCTCAAAAGGTTGGACATAAAGTTATCATGTAACCCAGCAGTTCCATACATAGGAATATACCCTAAAAAGGAAAGAAACATGCATAAATAAAGACATATCTATGAAAATTCACAAGCAGTTTTATTCACAACAGCCTCAAAATAGAAAAAAAAAACCTAACTATTCACTGAACGATGGGAATAAATAAACATGTAGTTATTATTGTGTTGTTCAAGCCCATTCACTGAGTACCTCATACAAGTGCTAGTTTGGAGTGGACCCCAGAAGAAGACAAGGTTCTACACAATAGCTCCAGGCTACCAGGAGGGGTGCTTGAGTATTTAGAATTTAGGATTCACCAGATCAAATGGTACTTCAGTTGTCAATGAACACAGGGATGCTGTTTCGGGTCTTTGTCAGGACCCCATAGTTACATCACACATCAAGACTTCAGGATTTTGGAGCAGGGCTCTTACATCATCTACAGACAACTCCCCCTTTGCAAAATGCCTGTCTGCTATCCCTTAGTAGTGTGAAAAATAAATGCTTGATGTACCAAGTTAACATAGAACCAGAGATGGCCATCATGAGCTGGGTATTATCTGATTCACTAAGGCATGAAGTTGGATGTGCACAGCAACAATCCATTATTAAACGGAAGTGGTATATATGTGATCACATCTGACAAAGTCTGGAAGACACAAGTAAGTTACATCAAGAAGTCAACCAAATGCCCATGGTTCCTACTCCTGATATTTTGGCTTCTGTCTCCCAGCATGGCCTCATGCGGTAGAATCATATGATCAGCTGAAAGATGAACAAAAGAATAGGACCTGGCTTAAAATAGCTCTATACAATATGGAAGCACCACCTGAAAGTGGACAGCTATAGCACAGCAGCCCCATTTCAAGACATCCCTGAAGGATACTGGTAAAAATAATTTTTTCTAAATTTAGTGTACTGGTACATTTAGGGAATTTGTACCCATACATGATATATTTTGACTCCTTTTTTTTCCCAATCCTGCCTCTTCCCTTCAACCCATCTTTCCCTCCCGATTTACAAAACTATGCTTCCATTTTATCATGCTTCAGTTTTGGGGTATTGGTTTTATTTTCTGTCCTTGCCTTTTACCTTCCTTCTCTTCCCCCACCTTAATTTCCCTTTGCTTCTGAATAATTTCTGCTTTACAGTATCTATTTTACACTTTGGTTCTCTATTTTTCCAGTCTCTCATACCAGGGAGACAATGCAATATTTGAATATGTGAACTGAACTTATTTCATTTAAGAGTATGGTCTTAAGTTGCGTTCACCTACCTAGAAATGCCTCAAATTTATCCTTCTTTATGACAAAGTAGTACTCCACTGTATAGTAGAAAGACTGATTTGAGTCAATGAGGAAGGTAGAGACAGTGCAAAAGCCATAGAAAACCTCTTCACAGAAATGGCAGAAAACTCCCCAAACGTACAATTTGACACACAACTACATGACGCATACAGAACTACAAACAGCCATGATCAAAATAAATCTACACCAAGGCATACAACAATCAAGGCCCAGAAATTCAGGAAATCTTCGAGCTGGACAGAACTCTAGGCATTGCACATGGTGTATATTTTGCCTGTACTAAAAATGGGCAGGGGGCCTGGCCCTAGCTCAGGCCTTTAAGTGGCTGCTTCCACAAAGCTGTCAGCCTCAGGTTGCTGGAGTTCGAACCTCACACCTCTCCAGCTGGCCAAAAGTGCCCTGAAGGCATTCGAGGAACAAAAAAAAAAAAAATGGGCAGATGTGCCGACTATATACTGATTCATGGGCTTCGGCCAATATTCTGGCTGGATTGGTAAGGAATCAGAAGGAACATTACTGAAAAACTGGTAACAAGGAGATTTGTGGAAGAGACATGACCTCTCCATATAGGCTAACAATGTAGATATATCTGTGTCCCATGTAAATGCATACTAAAAAGTAACCTAAGAGGACTTTATGAGCAGCCAATCTTTCTCCTCAGCCACCCGTCAAGGCCCAAAGGGCTCCTGAACAAACCCGCAATGGTGGCAAGGATAGATGTTATGCATGGAATGAGCAAAAATGGACTGTCACTCACTAAGGCTGATATAGCTACAGCCACTGCTGAATGCCCAATATGCCAGTACAGAGACCAACACTGAGTCCCTGGTGTGTCACCATTCTTCAGGGTGATCTGCCTGTGAATTGGTGGTGGGTTGATTATATTGGACTGCTTCCATCATGGGAAGGACAGCAC